AAAACTTTGAATCAATTTGACTGTATGATCTGGTGAACTGTAAAGTGCCTTGAGATGACATGTGTTGTGAAATGGCGCTATATAACTATAATTCATTTAATTGAATTTCCTTATTTCCTGTCCAAATGACATGAATATAAGAAATTTGTTTTTCCCCAAATTTACTAATGTAATCCCTCCATTTATAACCATCCTCTCAGAGTAACAGATACAAAAGATTCTGGGTGAAGAGAGCCAGAGTGTTAAACTAGAGGCCGGATATGTACAGGTTGTCACACAAAAAGACAGGCTCATAAGGTCTAAATGGTATTTATATAAACCTTTCTTACATTACAAATATTGCTATATTGTGATGACTGTATATATTACAGGATTACTATTTTAATTTCATGAGATTCAACTTGAATTTGGAAAAAAATATAGTATTTGTTTGTGTGTACTTTTGCTTCGGTAAATTTGTTTAAAAACTATCATGCCAATAAAGGTAAGTTCACTTGATTTTAAGTAGGTAATCAGACTTAACATGGTTGAATCTAATTAACACAATGTGCATCAATGTAAACGATCAAATATTGTGTGCCTGTATTGACTTTGCCCATCTGATTGGCCATAGTAATAGTTGAACTCTGTCAGTGATTATGACAGAGGTCTTAAGATATTGTAAAAGTGACATAGACTTAGAGACAGACTTAGACTTAGACATATTTTATTTTGGCATTTTGTACACACAAGTTTATATATATATATATATATTTCTCCAGTTGTATTTACAGTTACCTCATGGTGTTCTTCCGCCCAGCCTGAGGATCTACATTAGATTCGTCCCTGCCTCCTGGCGGATGAATCCATGATCCTACCAGAGCGACGACCTGTAAAAAAATAAATAAAAGAAAACACGCAGGAAACTCAACAGCTTTGCAACAATGTTGACTGATCAAAAGGGAGAACTTCGGTGAAAGTAAGCGAGACAAGAAGTGTTCGATTAGACACTGGTTCGGGTATTTAGGTAGGTATCTTTACGTTTCGGATAAGGACACAGGTGATGCTCTCCATCACCTGTTGGGGTGTGTTAACCTCAGCTGGAGGACTCATTTCTGCTAGCTTCCATTGACCGTGGTACAAAATGACACCATATGGGATTGATTTGGACGTTTTTACAGGTTTTGTTTAATGTAATGGAAAGCGAAAACCAAGATTTAGAGACAGATACACCTCCTCTGGACTGGAAAAGTTGCAAATTGATCATAGACCCTGCAATTACTAAAGGATTATACAAAGTCTGCCGCTTTGATGGACAACATTTCAACATCCCCGTGAGTAATGATATCCTATTAATACTCCTACCCTCCTCCTTAGCTGTTAAATTTCTGATTAAAATGTGAAAATCTTTTTTTTTTAATCCTCCATTGTAATTACAACGTGTTTTCTTTGTAAGGTTGAGGATTTAGGTCTTTTTCCTGTGGAGACCGTCAGAGATCCCAGAGTCTGCCGTCTGTGGAGTAAACACAACATAACTGATCTACTGCTTCCTAAATTCAAGGTACTTTTTATGATCACCATCAAACTTGCAGTCAGGAGCAAATCAGTTAGTTGAAATGACAAACATGGATGTTTATCAGCAGTTTTCTGCAAACAATTAAAGGATTTTGGTCTTTTAATAGAAAGATTTAAGCATATGTTTATCCTAATTTTGTATTTATCAGCCCCTATCAGGACATAAGCAAAAAATTAATAAATAGATAAATAATAACTGTTGTGGGTACTAGATAATTACTTACGCCCCCTAGAGGAGGCACCAAGTCATTACCTCCCAAATCACAAGTAAGTCTCTAATTCTTAGTATAGAATCAAGATAAGTAAATAAATAAATAAAACTCTTTCATTTTTGGTTTCAAATGAAAAAAAAATTCTGAATAACTGAATAAGTATACACTGACCTTTCTAATAAAACACACCAGTGCATTTCTCCAACACACTGTCTAACTAACTGCATTTATTGAAGTGTAAATTCCTTCCTGTCATATTGGGACATTGCTGCGCTATTTGCCAGAAGTTACATTTATATTGTTTCAAAACAACACTTGTTAGACTGAGTTTTAACGCAAGGTGCTCTTGTAAATATCTGGTTTTCAAATAAAGGTTTCTTTCTTTTTTCCTCCTTCAATGTCCGTCTATGGGCTTTGCAAATTATAGCTTACAATTAATGACTTTTTTGAAATTAACTTCCTTAAACTTTTTGTTACAGATCAATAAATATATATTTTTGAATCATAGACAAATTAAACAGTTATTAAAGGTATAACTTTACAGTGGTGCAAATAAAAAAATAATAATTAAATGTGTTTCTTTCCAGATTGATGAGTGGTATATCGGGCCTGTCCCTCCCAAGGAATTGACATTTTGCAGGTTAAATGATAATGTGAGAGAAACATTTCTCACCAATATGTGCCAGAAATATGGTAAAGTGGAAGAAGTGGAAATATTTTACAATCCAAACAACAAGAAACACCTGGGAGTTGCGAAGGTCATCTTTGACTCGGTGAGAGCAGCAAAGAACGCAATGGAGCACCTTCATCAAACATCCGTGATGGGAAATATTATACATGTGGAAATAGATCCCAAAGGTAAAATTGGATTTTTTTTTTTAATCAGTTTTCAGTCGCCACATTTGTTTTTGATTAAGTGACTAATTCTCAGATGAATCTTCTCAGGTCAGAAAAGAACGAAATATCTTCAGCTGTTGCTTAACGGCCTGTATACTCCCTGGACGTTACCATTGGGGAGCAGTGAGCGCGTTCTTCAAAGCTTAGTCGACACCCTGGTGGTAAACATTAAAGCATCCTTTCAACACTGATCCTGAAATTTCAGATCAGATAGTGAAAAATCTTTTCTTTTCATGTTGTTGTTTTTCACTCAGCCCAGCGCTGCTGCTCAACAGTTAGGAGCTGCCTCCAGTCCTACCAGCATTGCTACACCCCTCTCCTTGGACACAGCCTACTCCAGCATTTGGCAAGACACTCCTTGCAGCTTTGGCCTAACACCACAATCTCAGGGAACCCCCCGGACTCCCTCCTTTTCTGCGACTCCTCTCTCCCAGGACTCCTGCTACTCCAGCCTTCAGGCGACGCCTGTCCTCCAGGGGGAGCCATCTAGCTTCAGCCTTCACAAACATTTAAGACGAGCGCTCTGTCGTCAAAAACAGGCGAAGCATCAGAGGGTATCTAACCCAGCTTCAAATGTCAGTTTCATTTTAAAGTCTAACCACCTCCCCCTTCTGAATCCAACTTTAAATCAGCAACAAATCAGTAACCAGCAGCTCACAATGTGGAGCCACAACACCAGATACTCTGCCTACAAGGAGCCTTCCTGTAGTCCCGTTTCCCCCTTTCAGGAGTCTGCAGACATGGGTAGCTCTTCTTCTGTGACTTCACCTCACACCCGTGACCCTGTCGATGTCCACAGCAATAGTTTCACAGCTGATGGTCGACACGTCAGCAATGAGGGTCACCCAGAGGTGGGGAGTTTGGACTCGCGCATTGAACGTCTGCTGATAAACAGTCAGATTTCTGAAAGTTTATATTTTAAATGCAAAACTCAAAAGCCTGAAGGAGACTCTCCAGACAGCCCTTCTTCACCTCAATACACTCCTAAGGTTCCTCTCTCAGATGATTCCCCTTCTTGCTCCCCATCACCTAGTGAATCCTTTACCAGCGGCCATCGCCGTCCAAAGGATTTCAGTTCATCGCTCCCCGAAAACGAGGAGGATGAAACTAATCAAGCTGTTTTGTTTCTTAAAGCAAACTCCCAGTCTCCCACATCCTCTGAGCTGGAACATTCAGAAAGCAGAGTGCATCAAACACATGAGGAAGATGTCAACATAACGCAGTGGATTTCTTCCTCAAAGGTACATTTTGTAATTTCTTGCTTTAGCGTTGTCAATATGACGTCCTTCAAATATTTTTATTCTCTTTGATCTGGTTCACAATTCACAACTCCCAAACAGTTATATATGTTGTTAGATTTTATGTGTAGTTAGACTTAAAAAGAAAACAATACCACATGAGTCAAAACCATCTATTTTGATGCAGTATTCTTAAATAGGATAACATGACATTTTAATTCATTTAATTCCTGCTGGACATAAATCTAAATCTTTAAAAAGAAAAAAACAATGGAGAACACACCAAATCACAAATATCAGATTACCAGATGTGCCAAATTGTTTCAGTGGGATAAATATGCATAAAACCAACACTAACTAGTCCATAATGGTTAGCTGGAAGAAAAGACAAATATACTTATGTTTATTTGTATTTTTTTTTTTTTTATTAAAATCCTAAAAGTCTTCCATGCATTTGGATTAAGGGCCCCTGAAAATAGTAAAAAAAAAAAAAACTTTCACTGTGTTTATGTGACTTCTCACACTACAAAAAATTGAAATCTAAATAAGTCATTTTTTCTTGCAATAAGTGCATTTTTTCTTGAATTGACGAGGTAATTGAGACACTTTGCAAATGGAACAAGACAATTTACATTGAAAATAAGAAAAAACAATTACATTGTCTTATTTCAGGTGCATATTATTTAATTATCTTATTTTAAGACTAAAAATACTCCTTCAATTGGCAAATTATCTTATTTACCTACTCAAATTAATGGTAAATACACTTAATTTAAGACATTTTTTCACATTTTTAGATGATTTTTGCAATGCAAGTCTTTTTGGAGCCTGTTTATCACTCTAATGCTTCTAGAAACCAAAGTTTAGTTTACTCTTTTTGTCTTTTCCTTAAAGAGCTTAAAGAAATCTATCGCTTTAAACTTTGCCTTTCATTTATTGAATTTTTTTTTTACAGGATTCTAGGCCATAATGTTGGCTTTCTGGTTCTATTTTTATGACCTGTTCTGTTTAATAGGCAAACACCCTGCAACATTTCCTTCCATTGACCAGTGCTAGAGAAAATAATTCCCACAGCATGATGCTGTCAGCACCATGTTTTGTAGTGTGGATGGGGCTCAGGAAGGATGGATCTAATCACTGCAGCACCTCCCACATGTTTGCCATGGCCTCATGAGAGTTTGTTTTGATAGCAGGTTTATTAATCAGGCTCATGTAGAGCCTGCAGCTGACTTTCCCAGGAGGTTTGTCAAACATAATTAGTCTTTTGGAAAAATTTAAGAGGGACTTCAGATGTTCTATTTTTATTATTATTATTTGTTTTACCCTCTTCCATAAAGGCCATATTTATGGATTTGTGCAGCGCCTCCACAGTTACCACATGCCATACCTGTTCCCATATTCATTTTCAGACAATTGATTGAACAGAGCCCTCTATCTCCAAAGTTTTCAATATTTTGTACTTCCCTCCAACTTTTTCCCTGACATGTTTTTTCTGTTCGGTGGTTTAATCAAACCTGTTTATGATGCTGTTTGTTCTCTAATTTTTTTAGTCAGAGCTGGAAGCCATTTCTGCTGAACACAGATTATTGCATTGGATGTCTCAGTAAATGGGACTGAATGCTGATGTAGAGCAGATATTACTTTTTCTTTTCTTTATCACAATGTTAGTCTGCTGCAAACTGATAAAATAAAGTTTAGAATGTTTACATTGCTTGTTTTATTTTAGGAACATTATGCCGTGGACTCAAATACAACCAGGTGTGGATGTCTGCCGCTTGTAGAAGACAGATCATCACTTCCTAAATCTCCATCTACCTCTGCCATGTACACCAACATTCCCATAGCTCCTCCTCCAGCTCCAGTCAGATGTTCTCATCCTCCACAAGCCTCTTTTCCGACCCCCCCTTTCCTTCCACCTATTCCTCCTGTCCCTCCCCGCCTGCCGAATGGCACCATCCCCATCCCTCCTCCAGGCTGGATCCCACCTCGGGGTATCCCCATCCCACCTCCCCCTATCCCACCTCCTCCCTCCCTTCCTCCCCCACCAACTTTCTTGGTACCTCCTCCACCTTTACCTGGGTCACTACCTGTTCCTCCTCCTTTACCCATATATCCTGTAGCTGCACCACCTTTACTCAGAGGGGAACCTCCACGGCATGGCAGTGCATCTTTCCCATTCCCTCGCCCGCCCTGGCTCGTCCCGCCTTTTCCCTCCTTTAATCCCTTTGTGCCGCCACCAAACTTCACTCCTGTTCAGGAAAAGCGCTATAAGGTAACCGTGGAAAAGGTTTTAGAAATTCTTATGGAGGAGTTGAAATCTGTCATTCGGAAAGACATCATGCGAAGAGCGATTGAAGGAGTGGCTTTTAAGGCGTTTGAGGACTGGTGGGACTGCCAAGAAAAGAAAAAGGTTAGTTTGTTGTTTTCAAGTTCTTTTTATTTTGTTTCATCAAAGCATATTTTTTCAACATGAAGGTTGTTTATTTCCTTGTTCAAGATGCAAGTTTCTCCATTGAAAAGTGGAGCTCCAGCTGTTGATGGAAGGAAAACACAAACGAATCTTCACAGCGGTATTAGTGAGAGGGGGAAAAAGCCGGCTCTGCCATCGTTCAGAGTAAAATATGCCTCTAATATTCGACACACAGGTTTCCGTCTGCACAGTGACTGAATTATTGATTCTAAAACACTCTTTCCATACAGGTAAAACGAAAACGATCAGAAGAAATAGAAAACAACTCAAATTCCGCTCATGAAAGCTGTGGTAAGGTTTAGTTTTTATATTTTTATATTTTATAGCAGGCCTTAAAAAAATCCTTTAACAGAAATGCTTCCAAATCTTCCATTCAGCTTTAAAGTTGCAGCAGGAGGATAACATTGAGAAATCTGCAGCTGAGGGAGCCAAACGAAGACACGCTAGACCCTTAGAGCTGGACAGTGATGATGAAGACGAAGAAGAAGACAAAACACATCATGATAGCAACCAGACATCAGAGCAAATAGATGTTATCAAGCCTGCGGAGGATCCTCAGATTATGGTAAATGCTTGTAAACTTGTTATTGCAGCACAATAACATTCATTTATTATAACTGGAGTTGCACTGAGACTTTGATGGGAGGAAACAGCCAATCGGTGATGCTGGTGGGTTAAGGGTTGCGAAATCAATAGATTAGTAAACTCTATTAATGGTAGCGAGTTAATTGATCAGAAAATAGTAACAAAATCCAAAACAGGTCCCAGATAGAGGTTGAACTCTCAGAAAATATGGAATTCACTCATCTGTACAAATGAACTGTCTCTGCAAGAAGGCAAAAAAAAACCCAAAAAAACAGAATCATGTCCCCTTAGATTATCCCTCATAAAGGGAAATCAAATTGAATTAATCAAAAAACTGATCAGAATCCAAATTCAAAACTTTGATTGGTGCTGTCATGATTTTATTCAAAGATCTGACCCACATGCAGAAAACCAATCAGAGATACCAGGGGAAGGTTTAACAGGTTTATTGAGAACTGGTAGAGATGGGTCCAGTGCTGCTCTGAACACTGGCGAACCAGGACTGAAAAAAGAAGGGGAAGTTCCTGTGGTTAGTTCGGGCTCAGTGGGAAATTTGAGCTTCGATTTGCAAAAGGGAGTAAAGGCAACAGGACTCAAGTTTCCAGAAAAGCTGTCTTTCTTCGAATCCAGTCGGTGCAGGTTGTTCCAGAAATTGGTTTACTAGATGGAGGGCGGACAGGGTTTACCCAGGTTAAGTTGTTTCCTTGAGGAACGGAGGAGCTGACTGCCACTTAGATTTCCTTCGGTACTTGAACGGATCTTGTGGAGATGAATCCCCTGCTCAGTGTGAAGCTCAAACAATCCTTTGGGTAAAAGTAGATCCAAACCTCCACTTTAAATCCCCAGCTCAGTTTGAAACTTAGACGATACTTCCAGAGGGAGAAGGTCCAAAACATCCGGTTTGCAGGATGACTTCCTGCCGAGAGGCAAAGACAAAAACCACAGGATAAAGACTCAGGTTGACAAAAACTCAGATTGACTCAGCAAAACTCAGCTTGGCTAGAGTACCCAAAAATGGCAAACACTCTGGCGTTGAGGTAGTGGCAGTCAGCAGCTTAAGAGTGCTCAGGTAATGAGAAAACCATCCACAGGTGTGTGAAAGGGCCAATGAGAACCAGGCGCCACCTGGTGGTGAAGGGAAAACAACAAAAACACAACCCACACAAACTGGATTCATAACAGGTGCATCTTGTGTTATAATCTATCTACAATAGAAATTAATGTATATCAATGTGTGTATCATGAACTGTCAAGTTTTAATTTTGTGAGGAGGCATTAAAGGGGATGCTTTCATTAGTCTGACAGAGATGATGAAGAGGATGTTGACCAGGGATGTAAAGAAAAGACGTCAGAACTGGAAAGGTCTGAAGAGGATCCTGCTGTCTGTCTAGCTAGAGATGAAGATCGGTGCCTAAAAAGTGGTATGTTTAAGGGCTGCATCGCAGAAAATGTCAGAATAACTAGTCGATATATAATACTTTATCTTTATTTCCCTGCAGACAGATTACCAGTGAACAGCACCTCAGAAGAAAGTGATTACTCATCGGACTCCTCTGACTCGTTTTCCTCAGAGAGGTTTGATGACTCGTTTTCTGACCTCAGCTCTGAACATGAGGACATGGAGGAGGAGGATAACAGCAGGGAAGAATGCATAGTGATATCGTCTGATGAAGACTCACTGGAGCCAGAGCTCAGTGGGACCCCCACTGCTCCTCTAACTCCTGGAGCTAAGCTGGATCTAGACTTGGAGGAGGCTTTAGAGTCCTTCCATGCGGATGAAGAAGAGGAGAACTATACAGGCTGCCTCAAAGACAGCAGTGGTGTGGATCTTCAGCACCAAGAACCTCCAGACATAGAGCTCATTTCACCTTTAGGACTGGAAGGTAATTCTTTCTTTGTGATTTCAGGTCAATTTTTTTATCAGAAGTTTAGTAATTTCTCCATAATAACTATTAAAATGAATAAGTAATTTTTTTATGTTTTATTAACCAGTGGAGTCTGGTCCTGGATGGAGCACAGAGTCTCTGGAGATCCTAGACAACCTGAGGCCTCTCACCCCCACTGGCAGCTTGGTGGACAGTGACCCTGACAATCTGATAAAAAGCAAACCAGCATCTCCAGCTCTGGATGAGGAGGAGAGACCACCCACACCAGGGAAGGGGATTGTTGCTGGACTGGTGAATATAGACTCAGACGAAGCCCATGAAATCATTTCCCTCTCCCCTGCAAGTAGCAATGTTTTTGTGGCTACCTCTGATTTCCTACCCACCTCCTACCCGTACGAGGAGAAACCCAAAACTCCAGGGAGGGAGGAAAGCGGCGTATGGAATCTTCACAGCTCCGTTCCAGCAACGGCTGGTCACATAGCAGAAACGTTTGAAGGAAACACAGTGTTTTCCCCTCTGTGCAGTCCCCCAGATGTTCTACCACTTTCAAGCAATCCGTATATCACCCCCCCTAAAACGCCGGGAAGAGACATTTTCTTACCTCGAAGAGATGTAGTCCATAAGAGGAAAACAGAAACGCTCCCTCCTCTACCTCTGCTGCATGACAGCCCTCTTAGTGTTTCTCCCATCCCATTGTCCTCTCCATCCAGTCTCTCTGAATCTTCATTTGGCTTCGCAGATGGAAACGATGAAAGCATAAGTTCAGGTGTGAGAATGAAACCTTTGCAGGGACTTGAGAACACGCCTGGACTTTATAACGAGGACAAAGTTATATGGAGGAAAAAACTGAGGAGGAGCCTGAAGCGCAGAAAGAGGGCCCACCTTCATCGAAGATTATTAAAAGGAGTGAACTGGTCGTGTTCCTTTCAGCAGCACTTTCTCAGGAGGCGTTCGTCATGTGAGGAGTTTAATATCCTTCATAATATCTGGAAAGAGGGTTTGGATGAAGAGGATGCCAGACATCTTCAGAGTGTCTATGAAAGGCTACAAGAGCAGGATAACGGTGCCGTGTGGCTGAGTGAAACTGTCTGGAGCCCTCATCCTCATATCCTTTTATTCTCTATTCAGAATCAGAATCAGAAATACTTTAATAATCCCAGAGGGAAATTACTTTTGTTACACGCTCCAGTTACAGTTTTATATAATATATACACACATCCAACTATACAATATAATAAAGATAAAAAAATAAGAATAAAAAGAGATAAAATATATACACATATAGCTCTTCTGTATATATATATATATGTACGTATATCTATGCATATGTAAAAACTAAATCCAAATAAAGTGAAAATCCAAGTAAAGTGATAAATCCAAGTAAAAAGCAAAAATAGTGCATTCTGCTGGATCGTGAATGCATTGTTTAGATGATTAAAAAAATTATTACTTAGGTAGATATATACAAATGGTCAGTGTTTGGGGGTAATGGCATTACATAGTAACAGAGTTATTTAACTAATTACTTCTCAAAAATGTATAACACACTGATGTTGAGACTGGGATGGAAGGTAATACTATGGAGGGAGAAAAAGATTCCTGACAAGCAGCCAGAGCTATATTGGAATAATCATATTTTAGAGTCAAAGTCCAGACTTAAATCTGGTTCATTGTCTGTGACATTTTAAAACGGAAGCTCAGGGATGCTATGTTTGCAGCCTGAGTGAGGTTGAGCAATTTAGCAAAAAAATAAATGAGCTAAAGATGTTGAAAGCCATAGACGTAGCGTTACAGTTTCAGCTCCAGCAAAAACCAAAAAATTGTTAAATAAATGTATTCACACCTGTGGATGAGTCATTTATGTGTTTTATTTTTTTCTAAGATATTATTCAGAATTATTAAGCATAATTTGCTTTCTGTACACATTTCTTTACTTAGTTCCAGTGATCCAAAGCTGGAAATATTATTGCAAATATGTAAAATCTTTATTGATGTGAAGTTAAAAAAAGTCTAAAAATAATGAAGGGTTATAAACACCTCTTAAATCCACTGCGGTATTGAAAAATATTTTCTTAAATTCTTTTTTTTTTGTTGCAAATGCTTAAAATATATTTAGCATGGTATCAAAAAGGAATATTTTTTGATGCTCCTTGTGTTCACATTCTTTATATTTGTGTCACAATCTGTTACCTTCCTCCTTAACTCCTGTTTACTGACTAAGATCCCAGCAGAGGGCAGTGAAGAAAACCAGCCTGTCCACAGGACGGGTTCTGCTCGCAGTGAAGGTTTCTACAAAATTAGCAGGAAGGATAAAATAAAGTACCTCATTGGTGCAAAGCCTGCTGATCTTCACCCTACAGGGACTCGGGTACTGAGGGGAATATAGTAAATGCTTAGAGCCTAATGTAGAGTTTATTTGATCAAATGTGTGTTTTTCCAGGGCTTATGTATCCCTGTCCAGCATCCCACATCACTTCGTTCTGGATCTGACTTCAGGTCCGAACAGCGCCGCCTGCTGTCCTCGTTCAGCTGTGACAGTGACCTGGTTAAATTTAACCAGCTTAAGGTAAACAAAGTTTTTAACTGGTGGAAATTAGCATTCATCTTTTCAATTGTTAAAAAAATTTTTATTTATAAGGATTTCTTAAACATAGATCTTTTTACAACTTCTCATTTTAATTATGGTGTTTTGTTCATTTGATTATTTGTTTAAAATAGGGCTGGGTAATAAATCAATATTTATATATAATGCAATAGATATCTGATCAATATCAGCAGAAAACATGTTGAATAAAATTCTCAATAATTCCTTTGAGCTCCGATTGAGAACCACATGGTATTCTGAGGGATATAGACAAAGGAGATGATTTAGCCTTGCAACCTCCCATATTCAAACTAACCAAGGTTGATAGTAGTGCTGCAGGTTAAAGGTTACATTAAGATAGAGTTAATGTAAATTCAGTCTTTTCTCCCTGGTCCTTATTTCAAGTAGGTAAACAAAACATTAATCAATAATAATCCATATCGTCTGAAATGAAAGGCCAGCGTCGGGATACGTTTTTGAGCCTCATCTCACACCCCTAATTTATAATGTCGTGTTAAATATCCTTTAGAAATTGAAGGTTATTGCTTTTTGAGAAGACGGACATAGATTCAGACTAAACTTCCTGTGTTGAGTTCCCTCATTACTGTATTACACCAGCTTGAAACCTCAGGAGAACATCATCATTATTTGTCTTTAAACTCTATTTCAATGTTTTACTTTGAGTCTGTTTCTCTTTGTTACATCAGATAATGCAAACACACAAAATCTGATCTTATCGAACCCAGCCGGTATCTGTAAATAAAGCTTCAATCGTTTCATATCTCCCATCAGTTTCGAAAGAAGAAGATTTATTTCAGTCGGAGTCTGATCCATGAGTGGGGCCTGTTTGCCTTGGAGCCCATAGCAGCAGATGAGATGGTGATTGAGTATGTGGGACAGCTCGTCAGACAGGTAAAACTATCCGAGATAAATTCAACTCTCAAAAAAATACCACAGATAGGATTTAGAAAAATAATCCCCAAGGAATGTTTCTCTAAGTTGTTCCTAAGGCAGCCTGTGGTTGTTCTTGGTAGTTTCCTGAAGACTGAATATAGCAGGAGTGACAAACTCCGCTCTTTCACTACAAACGCTCTTTATCTGTAGGTCATTGCAGACATGAGAGAGCAGAGATATGAAGAGGAGGGCATCGGAAGCAGCTATTTATTCCGTGTTGATCAGGACACCATCATTGATGCCACAAAATGTGGAAACTTAGCCAGGTTTATCAACCACAGCTGCAACGTGAGTACAAACCTAGACTCTTTCATTCTGAACACAACCTATCAGCATTAAAACCCTCTTTATTTTACTATGAATTTAAGCATTTCTCTTGCTGGATTTTTTTTTTTATCTTTCAGCCTAACTGTTACGCAAAGGTCATCACAGTGGAGTCTCAGAAGAAGATAGTGATTTACTCCCGGCAGCCGATAGGCGTCGATGAAGAAATCACCTACGACTACAAGTTTCCCATCGAGGAAACAAAGATTCCTTGTCTGTGTGGAGCGGATACCTGCAGAGGATCCCTGAACTGATCTCTTATTAGCTGAAATCCTCTGTGGCCTTTAATGCTCCCTATCTGGATCATGTTTACAACTCAAAATTGCTATAAAAGCTGCAGACAGTTTGAGTTCGTACAGTGAAATATGACTTAAAAATCTCTTTAGACAATGGAAAAACAAAGAAAAACTGTTCGGACATTGATTTGTCTGTGCCGGCTCGGAGAAGCTTATCTAAAACGAACCATGTATAAAATCTTTCAAAATACATCATGAAACTGCTGAAAAAAGTAAACAAGAACCAGAGAGCACATGGAAAGTATTTATTTCAAGAGGATGTACAAAGATATTCATTTCGAGACTCATAACATTTAAATGTCTGCTAAGCTCAGAGTTGAAATGATAGTTGAATGTTTTCATTTACGAGAGCTTTAATGGTGTTTGGCTTGAGTCAAGCCTGTACTGTACATATTTAGTAGAAATAGGAATCCACTTTAGAGCCCTTCACTCTTTATTTTTTAATGAATGCTTTGGGAGATTTGCCAAGTAGGATTTTCTCAACATCAAAATGGATTATAGCATTTAAATGTTTTTATTAAATGTAAAGGAAAAAAGAAATAAAGAAGCTGAGAAATACTTACATGGTGCTATGTCCATTTTATTATTAAAGTTGGATGCAGTAAATCAATGAGAACCTGAGCAGTTTTTAACCTTAACAATGAATAAATCTTGAGTTTTAAAAGTCATAAAGAGGAAGAAAAAAAAAGGTTTTGCTTCACATGATCTCTGTATTTCCATTTGGTGTCAGGATGGTGAGATTTCCTCGAGCCCGCTGGTCCGCTTCAATAGCTTCAAAAAGAGACTTGAAATTTCCTGCACCAAAGCCCTGTGAATATAAAATCAACAAGAGATAAGTATTTGGTAAACAGAAAATCTGTTAAGAATCTGGGGCTGTCCTCACCTGGTGATTGTGTCTCTGAATGACCTCCAGGAAAACCGTGGGACGGTCTTGAACTGGCTTGGTGAAGATCTGAAGTAAATACCCTTTGTCATCATAGTCCACCAAGATCTTCAGTTCCTGTAAACGATAGGATCAAAGAGGAGAGATAGACATAAGTGGATGTAGACACACGTCAGCTAGTTGTGTTCTGATGAAGGTCTGACCTGCAGGACATCCAGGCTCTCAGTAATCTGGACCTTAGAGTGTTTCAGGTTCTCCCTCAGCTGCTCGTAGTAAGTGTCTGGCACTGTCATAAACTCAGTGCCTCGCTCCTTCAGGTTACGGATCTGCCAGAAGGGGATTCATCAGTTAATTGGTTAGGTTTTCCTGCATAATAGGGCTTAAAAAAACTCAGTTTTAAAGTCTTACTGATGTTATGATGTCTGATGTGTTCATGGCGATGTGCTGAACCCCTGGACCTCCATAGTACTCCACATATTCCTGTAAGAGAACTACTTTTTTATTGTCATAAGTCCATGTATTTAAGTTCTGTTTTTTTTTTTCAGTAAACATGCCTGGATCTGAGACTTTCTCTTCCCCATTGCCGGCTCGTTGATCGGCATCTTCACAGTCTCCTCATAGTTGGCCACTACGATGGAACGTAGGGCGCTAAATTCTGTCTGCAGCTGTTTGTCGTCCACCGACCAGAAGCGGTGAAAGAGGAGGTTCTTCTGATACCTGATGAACCATCAACCAACCAGATAGTGAGATCCAAGGGAATAAATCTTCAGGCTTAGTCTTGCTTCAGTACACAACAAGTCAGAAACAGTTTATTTCTAGCTTCTCACTTTATACATTTTGTTTTTCAGTTTATACATTTTGAATGATTTCAAATGAGTAATTTTAGTTTTCTGCTGGCATATGGATAAAAACAAGTTCTTTAAAACATGGATTGGCCAATGAGATCAGTCCTTTAGAGCCCTGCCTCATTTCAGGCTTGGCATGTCTTTTTCAGACTTATAGGGATGAAACCAGTTCCATATGTGCAGAACCACTTAAGGCTTTTCTTAAAACTGCAAAGTCATCCTGATTTCTGTCTCCTGCCAGAGAAGCAGAGTTATGTAAGAGTCCCACAGCCTATAATTTCTCCCCATATTCTCCTCCCTCTAATGTAAAGTTCTGCAGCGGAATGGTTTGAATTTATCACGAGTGCAAATGAAGAGAGATCCAATAATTACCATTCTACAACTGGAACCATCTCATTGTCTGGCTGGTTTCCCACAACGTGATCAATGAAATTCAGTTTTCCACTTGGTCTGAAACAATATCAGAAGCAGGCAGTCGCAAAAAAGTTCTAATTCATGAATGTTTCTCATATTTCAAAGCAAAGTGTTCACTAACAGTTTGGCCAGTAAAGGGTCTGTGAACAGAGGCGGCTGGAAACCAGGCAGAAACAAGCCTTTGTATCCCGTCCTCTCCACAAACGTGTGGGTAGTGTCGCCATACTGCAAAAAAATTAAAGGATTGTTTTATTTTTGTTTTTGTTTTTTTAAGGAACTGTCATAGATAAAATATTAGGTTTGAATTAAGAGCCCTGACATACCGTCTGCAGCACAGCCAGCCGGACCTTCCCATGCTTGTCCTCCAGGGTGTGGGGCTCTTTGATAATCATTGCCCCTCGCTCACGAGCTTTCTGTTGAAAATAAAATTGGAGGCTTATAATTTTATTAAAAGCCTTTACCTTAATGGGAAACATTGGTTTAAAAGTTGCTGCATTACCTGAACCAGGAAGTCACAATCTTCCACTGTAAACGCTATGTCTTTCACTCCATCTCCATGTTTCACCAGATGATCCCCCATCTCTGAGAAAACGCACTTTATTTAGCCGCATAGATTCAGACTTTGTTTTCCTACCCATCTTTAAATAATCTAGAAATGCATATTATATATATTGAATAATACAATTGTTCTTTCGAACTTTTTCTTTTGCCCATTTTGTAAATGGGCAAAAATAAAATCTAACAAGCATTAAGTTATTCTGTTGGTTCATATGTCGTCACTTTTGATATTTTCCACATAGTAAATGTTTCGCATTTTATACCAAAAAAAACGCAAACTGTTGCATAGCTTGGAGAAACGGTGTCTAAATCATTCCAAATAAAACTATTCACTACTTGCTAAACTCTATCCATGATTCTTAAAGTTTAGAATGTTAAGCAGAGCTTAAATAAAGCTTTTTTATGTTTCTTCACAAAATGTCATGTTTTGAAAACCGCTCTCTTACAAATCTGCATTTAGTCAAGGAGGCTCAACTATTTGTTGAGTCTGATCTGAATCTAGATGTAGATAATCCACCACATAGCCCTATAGGACACTGAAAACCAAGAGTTTGTTTCAAGATTGTTGTTTCAAAACCTGTAGAACCTCCAGCTAAAATCCAACTTCTATTAGCAATGCTTAATTTTTTTTTGGTAATTAAATGCTCCGAGCGCTCAAAACAAAACACTAAATACCTTTTTTTAAAAGGTGCTGTAAGATAACTCAGGCATTTTGGTAGAGTTTGGTGATTTGAAATAAGTAAAGCGTAGGAACCCTATGATAATATAAGGGTTATATTTCCCTTCTATTGGTGCTTATTGTAAAGTCAAAAAAATGTAGATTTTCATAAATATATTATTAATAAGAAATTTTTCCACTTTTATGATAAAATAACATATTTGTTATTCAAAATACCAGGACATTTCCAGTTTAGCATCTGGTCAGATGGGAATATATTGGTCTGCATCACGAGAACTGAAACCATCTTTGGTTGATCATTTCTGGGCCAACTTGAAAAATTATTCTTCAGGACAGAATTTGTCTTTAAGCATGCAGTGGCTGCTGCTGATCAGTACTTTACCTTTGTTACCAGGATTGAGAGCAGAGGAGAAGACATAAATGATCTGTAAAACGCAGAGAAAACAGAAACTACATGAAAGAAGCTGCTACCTCTGAAGGTTTGCAAAAGAAGATCTATGAAAGTTGTCTGAAGAAAGATGCTGTTGATTTTAATAATCCCCAGCAGTCATTCCCTCACTAAATCACCTGTCAATCATTCTCCAAACATTTGTTTTTAAGTGTACATCATTTTTTTCTGATATTCCTCCAGGTTCTGCAGGGTTCTTACCTTCCCTTGTTTCACTGCATGGGACACCACATCACGACTGCCTGTCTCTAAGCCTTTGTAAGCCAGCGGCTCAAATCCAAGCTTGTTGCAGTAAAACGATGCAGCCTGGTGGACACAATAATCATTGAACCATTCCATGTTCTTTATGCCTAAAAGCTGACTTTATTTCAAACAAGTAAAAAGCTTTTAATCTGTGTGTTATTGCTCCATCTTCTGGTGCCTGCTTCTTCTGCAGTTTTTTTTTTTTTTACATAGAGGAGGGTGGGGGGGATCAGTGTGTGGTCTAGTGAGAACTGCTTTTGCTTGACCACTGAGAAGAACTGATACCAATGCCAAGAATGACAATACTGTCAGCTGTGATTATTATGGAACAGAAATATGAACGTTTATGGGGTAGATTACCTGCTTTGCATTTCCAACCCAGAAGGTCAGATGATCGAAGCAGAGGAACCTGCCCTGCTCATGCTAAAAGACACCAATAGAAACCTTTTAAGCTTAGATTATACTGATCAGTTGTTGAATAAACCTGATAAAAGCACATCTTAGAATAGAAAACATATTAACACTCTTATTTATTCTCCTACATTAGCATATAAAAATAATATGTTAAAAAAATAATGATTTGTCTGATTATTTACCTTGTCGCCTTTGTCTGTGTATGTTGTCTGTTATATAGAAAAAAACATACATTTTCAATAAGTAGGTTTAAGAAAGTACAAAAGATTCAATGTAAACATCACAAACAAGAGTGATAAAGAGTCACCAGTGAATATAACTCACCATCTTGCCTGCGTTGACCTGACCCGGCTTCCAGAAGGAAACTTTCAGGAATGCCTGAATTTAAAAGGGGAGCAGAAGGTTTTTGAACCCACTCCCACCAATGAGGAGCTGGTATTGGTGGAGGAGAGAGAACTACGTTTGCTGTTATACAATAATCACTTTGCAAACATGTCAGCCTATCACAGCTCTGACGAAACTTCAGCATCTCTCAGTTCCCTGCAAGAGAAATTGTTGTTGTTTTGCTGCATAATACTTGTGTTACATCAAGCCTTATATCAGTCAAAAATAATGTTTTTTTTTTAACCCTTTATAAATTATCTCTGTTTTGCATCCAAATGCATAAAAAAACAACAGATGACACATTAATGAATCATAACTTAATTTGGCCAGTAGATATACAGAATCTTTCATTGTTCACAGGTTTAGAGTTGCAGCGTGATGTTTCTAGCACAATATGAGGCCCATGTGTTAGTGTTTAGTGGCAAGAGGAGGCTCTCGCATCCTGGACTCTCATTGGCTCTCTGGGGTGAGACTGAGAGAGAACCCACATTTCTCCCCCCCAATTTCTATGAAGTCTAGTGTCTGGAAAAACTATACTGGTATCATTAAACACATCTCCAAAGTATTCAAAGTATTAGCGCCAAATAAGCTGTTTACATTGGACTGAAGTTAATATGAATAAAACTGAGAAATTAGTGTATAATCAAATCAAACTACAGGGTTTTAATACTAAAGCATTTACTCTCTGACAAATTTTAAATAATTCAAAAACGTCTACAAAACCTTGGAAAAAAAAAACAAAGACCTAATGGTTTTCATTCAGTCTGTAGGAAAAGCTGATAAATAAATGTGTTTAATGCAATCCTGTGTCATTTCAGTTTTCAACAAGTTATCAGTTAGCAGGTGTTTAAAGTGAAACAAAATTGTGGACTCGAATGCAAAGCATCTCATGTTTTTAGGAAAACAGCTTTTCATTTTTCTGCGAAATGAAATAGTTCTCTTTATGATCAGAATATGACCCTGCAACATATTGCAAGACATTCAGCTTTTACATAAAATATAGATGCTCAATGATCCTCTTATAAATATATACCTAATTTTCCCTGTCCTGTTTGTGAAGAATCCACACATAAAAGATTTGTGATCTTTTTTCCATGTAGCACTACTTTTACAAAGAAGTAGTACTGATTTCTAATGTGAATCATTTACATAGGAAAGCATAAAATATGCACAACAGAAAATTGAACAAATTTCATTGTACAATATTACGACTAAAGAGAAAACTGTGACAGATTTGGAACACTATCATATGAACATTAATTTTTAGATGTTAAAACAAGTTATCCTTTAAATTCAGATATACAGATGCATCAACATGTGATGGGATTGTTGGAAAAATACCAGCGTCTCTATTGCACTGAGCCGCAGTCACCCCCCAGTTTGCCTCCATCAGTGAAGAGAAAGGAGCCTCCAGTGATGACACTGCATAGGATTTTACTAATTACTGTACTAAAATACTTTTTTTTTTAGTATCTTTACATGAGCAATTCTTTTGGTGGGGTACTTTCACTAACTTTCACTTCACTACGTTTCAAAGTAAACTATTGTACTTTCTACTCTACTTTCTAGTTACTTGCTCCTTTTGGCTCAGCTTAGCTTTGTAATCATCTGTTGCTGTTTTTCCTTTTTTTAATTGCAATTTCAACATGGCAGATAGCAGTACTTATTCAGATGCCACTGTTTTAGAGATTTGCATGACGCTCCACACATTAGAAAGTCAGGGTAGATATTCTCAGTTTATACATTTTATTGAGGTGTTATTGAGGCCAAGTTGTGCAGTAGGATGAGTTTTCAAAGCAGGGTTATATTTTCTTATTAGATTCAACCTTAAACCTCTATTCTATTGTGAAAGTCTATGGAGAATCAATTCACTCCTGTTTTCTTTTTAGTTTGTCTTTAAATAAGAAATAATCAAAATTGCTGTTCTTATTTTTTGAGGCATTTACAAGTTCTTTACATATGGTCTATTTTTGGAAGCAGAGCATTTATATGCAACAATACATCAGATCGTCTCTGAAAGTTACAAGGTTCTTTAAAATTACCCTGAAAATTGCACAGAAAGGTATACTGATATTGCAAAATAAAATTTGTATTTTTGAATAATTAAATACTTTTAATTGAATGTACTTTTAAACACTAAAGCATTTTCAAAAGTGAGTACTTCAATACTTTAACTTGAGTAGATGTTAAAACCAGTCACTTTTACTAGTACTTGAGTAAGATTTGACTATGAGTACCAATACTTTTACTCAAGTACTACTGCTGAGTACTTCATCCACCACTGATTTTTGGTTCTTCATACCTTTTTTGAGTCATAAGCACTAAATTACCATTAACCACATTAACAATATCTTAAATTTTAATCTGTATCTTAAAAGTTAATCATTAAAATAAGATGATTGTAAATAAAAATGACATGACTGATTAAAATAAAAGATAAAATGATTAGAAAAATTAAATAAAATTTGGGCTTAAACTTAAATAACGATGTTTAGATTCTCAGTAAAATGCCACTTAAAAAAATATATATATATGTTCTGTTTTCTGGGAAGTTATTCCAGAATTTTGGTGCATAAGAAATGAAAGCTGCTTCTCCAGGATCTGTTTCTGGGTCTACAAAGTAGATTTAAGCCTGAGGACCTGAGAGGTCTGGAAAGTTGATCCACTGACAGCAAATCTTTATGTATTTTGGAGCTAAATGATTCACTGCTTCATAGACTAAAATAAGTATTTTAAAGTCTATTCTCTAAAAGAAAGACAACCAGTATAACAATTTCAGTAGTGGGGTGATGTCCTCCACTTTCTTCATTTATGTGAGGACGCAGGCAGCAGTATTCTGAATCAGCTGCAGCTGCATGATCCACTTTTTATGCAGACCTGTGAAAACATTACTTCAGTATTAAATTCTACTAAAGATGAACGCATTCATTACTTTTTCAAGATCTAGTCGAGACATTAGTCTGTTAATCCTGGAGACGATTTTTTGGTGATAAAAAGCTGACTTTGTTACGGCTATAAGCCCTTAAAGGTTCACATCTGAGTCCATCGCTACATACAGTGTTGGAGCCTGATTGGTGGATTTTAGCTGTATTAACTAAAACCGCCTTCTAACTATTGAACGCTGTTCCTTTCTTCCAAAATAATCATTGCTTTAGTTTTGTTTTAATTCACCTCCAAAAAATGTTGCCACATTCATGCAATGTCTTCTTCCATGCATTTACCCAGCACTTGAATGGGTTCATAGTCGATCATAGTTGTTTGTGAATGTATAGCTGCATAGTTACATAACCAATGTTTTCTTATTAAGATCTGAGCTTGGGAGAGCGTGTTGATATTGAACATGCAAAGTATCATGCCTCAGTCAGGTTTAGATATTATTCAAGCAATTTCCAACATGCGCTTGACATTTTAACATGCATTTTATCATATGAATTTTATTTACTTTTTCTTAATGTTAAAAAAAATGGGTTGATCAAAGATTAGCGCAACAAACAGCAGATCTTTCTCTGCTGTGTACCACCAACAACTTATTACCAAGAAATGAGGTTTTCCCTTCAAGAGCAGCCGCTCTTAGCGTCCCTGAAGGGCTTTGTTATTGATGCTGTTGCCAGGCACCTCAGTGTTGTCATCAGTTACAGCTACACACATTCAGACAGAAGAACACAATGTTCTAGATAGAATAATTATACACCTTATGCCCTTTTATTCAGAGAATAATTTCATACAAACATTTGACAAATGTAAAAAAAAAGAGCTCAATCAAAAAACAAAAAGGTTGACCCCACATAAACTCTGCTACTGTTTTTTAGATGTGATGTTGGACTGAACTCTGTCTTATTTCACAGTGGGACTCAATCCCACAAGCATTAAGACTCTCTGAGGACAAGAACCAGTGTCTATTATGTTCTTCCAAAGCTTACATTTCTCATCTCATCTCAGTAGCTCCCTGAAAGCTGACTAAAAGTGAAAATGAGCGAAGCAGTATCAGAGACGGATCCAGAAATGCTTGTAAAGGGTGAACAAGAGGACGGCGCTGCTGCAGAAGAAGAGCAGATCTGCTCTGACAGTCTCCAAGAGAAAAGTGCAGGAAAGAGCGGCACTATGGAAAAAGAGGCACAAGGGAAGATGATGTCTGTTTTCGAGCAGGTGCGTAACCAGATCAGATCACAGGGGGGGTTAAAAGCCCCAAAGAGCAGCATACTGGAGCTGGTGTCAAAAATCAAAGAGATAGAGACAGGGAGTGAGCAGGAGAGCAGCCAGTCTGATAGCAACAGTGCTGAAGCAGAGGGTGAAAAAGAAGCTAAAATAATAAAAGATGGCTGCAAGGAGGAAATAGATCCAAGCTTGGAGAAGATGAGTAAAGTACTTGAGGAAAAGCTGGAGGCCAGTAAGAAGGTCTTAAGGGATGAGTTTGAAATCCAGTTGTCTGCAGTGCGTCAGGAAATGCAGGCCTACATGGATCAGACTCTGAAAGACCTTGAATTAAAGCTAACAAGCAGGCTTCCTCACAGTCACCAGAAGACACACTCCAAACCCCTGCAAGAGAGTGCTGATGCTGTAATAAAACGGAGGGCTTCTGCAGCTCCATCTCTGGCATCCAGGAAAGGAAAGGTTCTGACTCGGAAACTGACCACAACCATCATCCCCTCTGCTCCAGTCATCAGCGGCCCACAATCCAAAGTCAAAAGCTCCTCAAAGGGTCAAAGTTTACAGGTGAAAGATCAATTGCTCTGCTTGTCAGAGAAGTCCCACCAGGGCCGCAGTCCACTCCCTCCAGCTCAGCCCCTGTTGCATCAGCGCAGGAAGCCCGTCCAGGCAAGATGTAAAACCGGAAATTGACTTTAATGAGACAATTTGTGGAAAAAGAGGAAAAATGAACATGATTAAGACACTTTTAATTTAAGTTGATTGTTTTTGGGGCCTGTTTTGTACTAAATCATACTTGCTGTGTGTGTGTGGGGGGGTGATGGGGACTATAAAAAACATTTAGTTAACCCCTTCCTCATCACACCCTCTACCTTGATTTAAGACCTCTAAGAAGTTGATATGCAGATTCAACCCT